TTCATTCATTGGTGACAAACATGGCATGCCCTACACATTTAAGAATTTGAACGTGCCTCATGAAAAGCCGAAGAAGCCACCGTATTCAGCTCCCTGAATACGCTGTTAAAGAAAGACTATTCGACCATAGGAAAATGTTAAATAAATTTAGTCTTAAGAAGACACTGAGGTCAGAGTGCACGTGGTTCATTGTTTAGAATAACGTAACCTTGAGTAGAGATGAATCTATTCAGATGGGTAAGCTCACTTTAAACTACAAGTCATGGAATCACTCGACAGGGGAAGGGCTTTCATGATCACACATTCTCCATTCTTTCGTGATCCACAGTCTCTTTTTTCACATTCTCCATGGGAGCATGAGCACCTATAGGCATCTGACGTTGAATTATCGATTCTTGAACGTTGTTTCCACGAAATCAACACTTAATTAACGCTGATTGAACAAAATCAGCTCGTAATCAACGTTGGTTTAAAATAAATCAACGATACTTCAACGTCATTAGCCGCATGGGGAGCATCCTCCAGCTGCCTCGCGGCACACAGTAAGTAGGCCAAGGAGTCCCACAAGGTGCGTACGAATAGCGGTGCCCCGGCGGGTGATGCTTGATATACCTCAATCATATGGAGCTCCTTAGCTCAGTGAAGTTTGCCGGGCTTTATATTCAGCCATCTGCTTATACCGGAGACCTTGAGGCAAGCATTATAGAGTAGGTGACTTGTAACATAAATAAAAATAAATCACGATCGAATAAATCCTGTACGATGAACGGTTTATGTAAAGAAAGACGGATACGTTCAAGTGGAAATTTATAGCAACATAATTCCTCCAATCGAAAGCGCAGCTGGTCTCAAAATTATAAATGTGCACTGGAATCGACTTGCTCATTAAATCATGCCGTGTCATCTGAAGAAAGTTCAGGTGGCACTTGAGGAGTTGTGTGGGAGTACGCTGTTCGCATTTGAATTTAGGCGAGGATTTTTTTAAAACATTTTTTTCTATTAATAATCATTTCCACACCCTGTAACATTTCAGGCGTAATATATCTATAAGATCTATGTAATATATCTAGTCATCTAATGAACGAAATCCAATTAATTTGAGTGTTCAGAGAAGTACTGTGCAATGGGACGGATTGAAGCAAATAAATACATCATATTGAGGCATTCGTCCTCCTGTTTACTCTGAATTACTGAATTATAAAAGATAGTGATAAAAATGCATCACAATGATTGATTATTTCATATGTTTAAATCATTTTAGGTTCCCCAATAATAATTCATAATTATTGCAAAGTTGATTCAAGTTAGCTATTATATCTAACGTATGCGCTGTTATCACGTAATTCGATTCATAATTTTATTAAGAAATACAATTTAGCCAAGCTAAAATCATTAATCAGAGCTCTGATTAAAATGCATGGTAAATATAATACGAACATATTTCCGAAGCGTGGACTGAGAAGCGCAAGCGTATCTACCGACCTTGGGGTCACGGTATCATAATAGCAGGTCAACCTTGTACTTCTCAACGTCAGTTTAGCAGCGCTAGCGACATCTCTCCATCAGATAGCTTTGTTCTCCTAACCAAGCACTGAATTTAAGTTCGAACAACGTCACGAGAGGACAAAAACGCACGCCACTTTCACTGCCTGGTGTCTAGGACTTCCTTATACTCGCGTTCCTGAGAGCAAGGGTGAGCAATGATGACTTTGTGAAGAGCATCCGCTTGAAAATAAAGTTTAAGGAATTTTTCTTGTTTCCAATTTCGTTGAAAATCTACTCAAATTTTACTCAATTACGAACGAAAATAATTCGCGGCTTTAGTTTAACTAAAAGGACGACTTTATTCGAAAAAATGTTATATATTAAATGTAACGAAAAATACAGGTTAAGTATTTCAAGACGATTCATGTTCCCAACACATGGAAAGGGTGTGATAATTCATATGTAAATCCCTTGAAACTTATTTTGAATCGAATTCTGAAAGTCTTCCATCTTTAATTTTTAAGAATAATAATCAAAAATAATATTGTATTATATCATCATTGAATTATAAGATTAGCTAAATTAGATAAAAGTAAAAGTTGTCGGGATTCCAAAGCATCCTTAAAAGTACAATGCAAGAGTTGGTGGCTGACGCACTGTAGCTCCTGATGAAGCCCGTTTGACCGCTTGTAAAACAAGTCACGAAATTCAAACAAAACTTTCCCGTTCGTGCACCTAAACTCAAGCCTCCATACGGCCATCTGAAGCAAGTGAAGCTAAAATGTGAAGCAAGTGAAGCTAAAATGTGAAGCAAGTGAAGCTAAAATGGATCATCCGTAAAAATTTCAAAGTTATTCTTGTACAGAAATGCGAGTTTATTTATCAATGATAGACGATCGGTAACACTTAGCGAGCCAAACACACGATTTTCATGGTCACAAAGACAGCTGTCATTTTTATGATAAAACATGATAAGCAATCCCTAAACACTGAAATGTTCAATGAAAATCAGAATATTTACGAGCTAAATGAATTTTCTCTAAATTAATTTTCCGTTAAAATATTGGTATTCTATGTTGTGAAACAGGGTTGTCCGATGGCCTAAAAACGGCCAGGTCCGCAGACAAAGAAGGCCAAAAAACGCATGTGACTCAATATATACTGTATATATGTAGGATCTAGTTAAAAAATTCCATTTTACTTTTTTCACCCTTTTCAAAATTTCAAAAGGAAGTACCGCCGTCATAAATTTTAGCCGGCCGATGAAATTGAAAAAAACTAAATCGTGAAATTTGCCCAAAAAAGCTCTGCTTTTCAATAGGAGCGAAATTGACATTCAACTCTACGCTGAACACCAGAGAAGTGAGGACCTATCTCGTATGTTTTATCCGCTGAGATGTCAGCGGCTGACACTGAAAAAACTTCAGATAAGCTCGTCATGTGGAGCTGGGTCCAAATTACGATGATAAACTGGTACATAACGACCACGCCTTATAGTTCGTAGCTCGAATGGTACAAGGGAAAATCGAACGCTCTCACAAGGGCGAGCTCTTATAAAAACTCACTATCACTCACATGTATACTTTAAATAACAAGGCTGGTTAGGATGCACGAATTGCGGGGCGCTGTAATCATAGCTACTAACTTTCATGTGGCTGACTAATGTGACTGGAGCAACTAATTTTGATCTATTTCACGTTCTCGGTAAAATATACTGAAATTAAAAAAAATTATTATCGAATTTGTTGATTACTGCATATTTGATTCATGCTCAAAAATGCAACAAATGAATCAGTTATGACACATGATAGTAGATCATAGAAAAATTATTACTCTAAACTTCGCAGTGTGTAGGCCAACGATTAATTTTATTTGAGTATAGAGTGAAGATCATCACGAGTGGCGACCTCAGCGAAAAATACGTACGCTGGTCCTTGCTACTAAATGCGATCACATGCATCATAAGAGCTCGTCGCCACTTAGAAAGATTCGATTTAGATACATTCAAAGTTTTAGCAACTTTAATTGATTTTTTTACGACCCACTTAGCGTCGGTATGTTACACTGAGGCAAGAGTCGTCGAGTTTTTCCGAATTGTTCCGCTTCTGATCGAGTCCTTACATGGAGGTGATATGGCTTACTACGAGGGATCAATTACCTGCCACTCTTGATGCAACTATACAGCGTATTTTAACGGGGCGCTCGGTCTATGATATCTTTCAAATTTTCAGCTCTTTAATGAGCACACATTACCATCACCTCTTCGCGGTCGTTGTGGGAACACTGGACAATATAGAATTTAAATTGAATATTACATTGTTAATTCGTCTAATTAATCAAGTGTTATAAACAATAAACATTGATGGAAAAATATAGTAAGAAATTTATCAATTATTAATTATCTTCAGCGATCCTTGACAGAAGAAAAGATTATTAAGAAGGATTGCAAAACCTAATAGAATGAGAAATCACCGCGGGCAGAGCAGAAATAAAACAACCAAAAATACCCCAGACCCTAGAAATTAACCGAAGACATACACTTAATTTGAAGTGACTAATAATGGTCGAGACCAACAAATAGTTTTTGAATATTTTTTTTCAGAGGAATTTAGCAACTAGTGATAAATTGAAATGTATAAAAAACTTATGTTGTTGCACATGCTATTTATTGGACGTACTCGTTACTATCCTTGCGAACAAAACTTAACCTCATTACATTTCACGTTAACACAGTTATATGAATAATCGAAGATGATTACAAATCAAATAATAAATGGTGTTATTCATAACATACACTCACGCGTCATGGAAATCAAAGAAACGCACACGCATATAACTCACGGTCAAAATGTTATGGAAAATTCCGGCAAAGATCAAGCTCGTTGACACAATTTAATCTATTCTAACTAACGATGCCAGAACACATGGCGCATGTTCTAGCCTATGGTGCGCACAATGAGTACGAAATTCTAACATCCAAACACGACTCTTAAGTCTTAAGACACGTGGAGCAGGTAGGGCAAAAGCAGCCAAGCCTTCGATGTTCCATCACGAACATACATCGCTACCCTTCCTATAGCAAGGCGCTGCTCGAGTATCCTCGTAACAAGATCAAGCCTTCAATAATTATAATCAATTACTTGTGACCATGGCTGCACACAAACCTAGCAAAAAGTTCAAGTAAATGTAATTAATTTTTATTAATTTGAGTACGACAGTGATGTTCGGTGGACGTTTCTTCTATTCACTCCCGATTGATTTTTCGAATTTGTTAAAACGATCTGCATTTCTCACTAACAAAAACTCTGCGGGAGACTAATTTCAGTATTTCATATCTAATAAATTAATTTGCAACCCTCACAGAACCAATTTTCAAGGCATCTGACAATTGAATTTTTATATCTAATCACCGAATTTCTAACTTTATTATATGTAATAAACGTCGATGGAAACCTGTTAATGTTTCCATACCTAAAATTGGTATCAACTCGAAAGCACCATGACTTTTCTCTCACCTGATCCTCGTCCTCGTGACCGAAGAGAGCATCAAGCTCTGCCGTGTCCAGCTGATCAGCTCGTTCGTCCCTCATGACCTGTTCCAGGTCCAAGGCGGCTTCCATCAAGTCAACTCGCGCCAAGAGAGACTCCACGCTCTGAAGAGCAGCGAGCCGATCCTTCTGCAGCTCCCGTATGCTAATCGAATTGTTACAAGCAATCCATATTGTGGCAAAGAGAAGGCCGGTAACACAACACACCAACAATAGCAAAACTTTAACCATAGTCGTCATTCGATTATTAGTTACAACTTCTAACTGCAGAGGTACGGTCTCCAGATTCGAATCTGAGTTGTGCGAACCGCGAATTGCTTTGCACGGTGACATCATGAATTTGTTCTCTGTTGATATTTTGTGTGCTACAGCATCTGTTGAGAGCGTTCAGTTATTCATAAATTTATAAAAAGGTTCAATGGAAATATGATTTTATTCATGAATGCGTAGTGGTATCGAATTTAACGGTACACACACGCGTCTCTCAGACACGCGGCTAGAGGCAAAGATCGCACAAAGAACACAGAGCACACTACCTCACCCGACGATGTCCACAGCTGGACTAGGCACGAGTTCAAATTGTGTTGCGCCCACCGTGCATTGCACTCCTGCCTCAACTGCCTGCATTCTGGCAACATCTCCTGATGCCTGATGTAAACGATCGAAGGAGCTGAATTTAACCCCGGACCAACTCCCACAATTACAAAGAAACAGCTATTGTACGAACCACAGCGGGTAGAGAGTGGGCGGAGAGAGCTGCCACAAAATTCTAGATTTACTCGGCTGATGATGCGATAGGACGATTTAATGGAGAGACTGAAGAATAAGGACGCTCTTTTGTGGCTGTGAGTTGGGAACCGGCAGATGTATTCGAAAACTTTATGATGCTACGCGCCTTGTACGAGAGAGAATCCAGCGATACTCACATTGTATAATTATTTACTGGTGACTCAGTGTACGATCTTTGAACTGCATTTAGTCTACTTGTTGTATTTTACTTGTTGTACTACTCTCGTCTACAAGTATTAATATAAAAAATTCAGGTGTCTTCTCATTTTAAATTATGAAATCGAAATGAAATCTTACTCAGCCAAAAATAGGTGACATGAAAAAGATCACGGTTTATTTGAGAACTTATTTGAGGCTTGATAATATTTCTTTTGAGGATACAACACTTCATTATAAAATTAATGAATGTAATAACTGAATTATTTTTGTTGACTTGGGTTGTCCCACTTTGAGATTTGCATCGCCAAGAGCAGAGAAGGTACAGGCATCTTGCACTCTCCTAAGCTGGGGCCATATAGAGTTGTGTGTGGGTACTAAAGCAAATCAAATCCACCTTCTAACAGACGCTGTGACAGCAATTACAGCTCATATTTTAATTTTACGGGCGCAGATAATTAATTGAAATCGGTCTTGTTCGACAGTTTAATTAACGCATACAATTTTTTTGGTACGCAACATACTGTTGATAATTTTAATAAAAGTTATTGTGGGTTCGGATAATCACTTCATTAATAAAAAATTAATAAAATATGCACTTAGAGTTATAACTAAATGTAAATAATCGAAGCGGGCAATTTTTATTCAAATCAATGAACTTATTCTGCATGAAATTAGAAAAACAACGCATATATAGATGTACTTAAAATTTCTTGCAAACACATTTTCCCGGCATGGAAGGTGAATCTCTCAACGCTTCGTTTAACATAAAAATGCTGCTCCAACATCAGTCACCGCTACTTATCCCTTACGATGAGGCTGAAAGACCGAGTGTAAAAATGATGACTGCGTACAAGGCGAATTGTTGCGAAGTAAAAACGAGCAAGCGTGTAAAGGCGCCTCAAAAAAGTCAGATACAGAGGCAGCGAATAAAGTGTTTGAGCTCATCACCGTACGTTAAGAAGACTTGAGCGTGACTTACACGCGTCTTGACTCGCTCGTCTGAAAGATACAAATGCTGAAAGGTCTCTGCTAGGAATGAAATTCTCGGGCTTTATCTATTGTTATGAATTAAAATAGCACACATGTAAGTGGGATCACATGATGGATGCAAAGAGTTAGACGAAATTTTTTCGCGTATAGTTTGATGCAAAATTTTAATAACATACTTTCCACAAAAAAAAAATCATCTGCTTCAGCTGTTAAATTGAAGAAAATTCAGCTGCTGATAAATTCGTACTTTTCGGATATAAGTAAATGATTTGCAGTTCAAAACACTATCACACTCTAGTTATCAATGTGTAACATGAAATGTACAAAAATAGCTTGTTAGCCCAACGTTGCGCGGATTCAATAATCCCCGAAATTATTTAATCCGTAATCCACAATGTCGAATCCTGTAAATAATAATAAAGATAATGTATGTTAAAGGAAATGCGCATCCAAGCCAACGTTTTATGTAATAATTAGAACTCCAATTAGATTTTGGTACTTTATAGTGCCAATTTAAAATAAAATTTCAATTTATGGTCCCCATTTACGGTGAAGAGCTTCCAACACACAAACATACATTGACAAATATATATGAGACTAAGTACGTGAAATTTCAGTAAGACTTCCGTGCTGCATAATATGAAACATATATCTAGCGCCAAAAAATTGGAACATCCTTCGTTATTTATACAGCATTCTTTCACGGCCATACCCAGGGACTTTAATGCACATGATTTAATAGCTCCGTACGTGGTGTTTATATTGCACGCAATATGCCTCGCAAAGTTCACCATATGCAGAGCTTCTGCATAAGAGAGCGAATTATCATAACATACATTTTAGGAGGTCAACTTCTCGTTGAAGCTCTTCCCTATCAAGGATTAATTAAAAATGAAATGAACGAGTAGAATGGTAGACAAACCGAACAGTGGCCTATGTATTCGGAGCATAAAATGAATTGGAGTCACTCAAATTATTTTAGATATTATCTCTCGTCGTTTATAAAAAGGAGCTTTAAATAAAATAAGCTTCAAGTAATGCAAAATACATCTCGGAGGCACGCGCCATTTTTTTAGTGGAAAATTTTAATGCTTTAAGATAGATTACATTACCTTCTATTTCTGAAATCTTATTATTCTCCCAATTGCATTAATTACTTTGGGTCATATTGGTACAGCAAATAGATCGAAGTGAAGTACTTAAATTCTCAACTACTCGAGGCTTTACATCGATGGCTTTAAATTTGTGCTTAGGTCGCAAACATCAATACGAAAATTTTTAAATAATGCCCAAATTTAAAGGCATTTTATAGTCACAAACGTTAACCAAGCACGAGGTTGTATGTGTGTCCTGCGTCACGACCACCGCCTTAGGTTTAGCGGATGAATGCCCTGCATGAGCTCAAAGTTCTCTAGGGTATGAAAACAGTCCCCCTAAGTAGGTCGCTCTCTGTGGACCTACACTCGTTGTCATGTCTTCCGCGAGGTACGGTCATCCGAAAGCAAGCTTATCTCGTGGCTGCTGCGAGAATTGATGTGGCGAGAAGATCTGTGTGGGCGGATATTAGCAATTATAACCTCATTAGCATGGCTTCATGAGAACGCTACGTCGACAGTTTGAACATACATCCCGACTTGTACATTACAACTTTTATATCTCGATAAAAAATTCTGTTATTTCAAAGAATGATGACCATGAGATATTTGTAACACTTAATTTATTTTTTGGTGATATAAAGTGCTCTCGTTTTTGTCGTTGTGGCCTGCTATACCAGTAACGTTACTCCTTTGAGTACAATTTACTTTGGATATCCGAAACTTTGATGGGTAGCTATATTGTCCACCAACTTCTTTAATCATATTGATACAAATGTATTTACAAAAACTATAACTGCAACTGTATGACATTGCACGCCTCAAATTACAAAACCTTATTATTTCATTTCTATTTTTTTCCTGCACTAGTATTTTGCATTGTGGCTTCCAATAATCCTCCCTCAATTGCCTCATATAACTTGCGGGTAAGGAGCAATCAATTACGGACGCCCGAAGACTTCAATTTCTCTGTCACCTGCAGAACAGGTTATCCATTACTGACGAATAATTTCTCTCTACACGCATATTTTACACGCAATAAATAGTTGCGCCGGGAGCAGACCAAGTGAGACCACCAAGCGGAGAACCGCTTCAGAAGATGCACTTAAAACTGCATCGTAACGAATGCATCTGAAGTGTCCTGGTAATTTGGTCAAAAGCTCAAGTATTTACTGATTAAATGAAAAAATAACAGAATCTAGAACAACTTCGCAATGAAGAAACTTCTGATGCGGGTTTGAAAGCAACCAGAGAATAAACGACAATGTTACTGAACACAAAGCTTTGCAGCTATTTATATTTTTTATCAACTGAATATTTGGCGTGAGTGTACATTGTATTAAAAAGTTAGCCATTTCTTATTTTGCCTCTTCTTTTTGTGCAGTTCATATGTCTCATGAAATTATTCCTTAAAGTATACTTGCATGTGGTCTGAGTTGTCCGGAGAACACGAAACAATCAATGATTGCTTAAATTTAGCGCCTCAATAGACACAAAAGTCATAAATAAGTTCAAGCCAACATCGCGCGATCAATTCTGCAAGAAAAAGTTCCTAAACTAACAAGACGTAAGCTGAGTTAGATAACGTCTGTAATTTATGCGGGTGTTGCGATATTGCGAGCCACTTTACATTCTTAATTAAAAGGCGACTCCTGAAGAAGATAAAGTGAGGTTGGGAGAACGACACCCACTTTCGGTTGACAGTTTTGAGCAGCTGGGCTCTCTAATCCCGACACAAATTACAGTCTTATTCACTGCACACATTAGTGCATTGGTCAACAGAAGTGATCCTTCTGTTAATGTGCGTTCCGGTGACTCAAGTTATGCTGACACAATTCTTGTTTGGTGCATATACGTCGTGGTAAGTTGGCAATTTAACGTTATAATACGATGAATAAAAAAATGGCCTGTCCTAAACTTTGGTTAATCAACATTGATTTTGAACTGAAGGAATAATTGAATTTGTGCTAATCTTTTTGAAACCTTTCCCATAAATTAATTGAAGTCTTTTTCTTTATCTGAAGAATAACTTGGATCCTACGAATTCATATTTCAGTGGAAACAAATTAAGCCCTGCTGATTAATGAGAGTGCTCATGCATGTTCTTCTATGGATGATGAACTTACGAGCGCGTCGAGCTGCAATTTCTCTCCAATTTTTAGCCAATACGGATTGGAATCTCATTTATATATGTATATATAGGATCCTTGTTATTTACATTCACGCATATAAGCGAATTTAAATTATAATTTTACATTTTATATATGAAACACATAAGGTATCTTGGATGACTTCAAGTAATGCGGTCAAGGTGCTGAAAATGTAGTATATCTTAATATGAGTGCTTTTTTGCTATGACATTTCTTCTCTGCACATACCGGTAATTACAGAAAGCCTCAAAGAATGTTTTCTTGAGGAACATATTTGTTGAACTGTTTTAGCATCTTCGAGAAAGCCAATACAGCTGAACTATTTTGCACAGACTTATGTTCTCTGACGTCATACATCGTTGAGTAGTCTCTAATGGATGCAGTATTGCAGTTGAACGGAATATCA